GCGCATAAAACCGTTGTTTGGAAGCAATATGTAATCTTCCAACCTGCTGCTTATAGCTGGGAGATGGTTTATTGATTCAGCCCCTTGTGATTTGGTATTTGCAATAACAGACTCCGCATGGGGGAGATCGTCACGGCACTTGTGCCTAGCAGGATTTCACTAATAAACATAAGACCTACAGAAGGCTTCGTACTTCAGTGTCACTGAGGTAGGACGGGGAACATGAAGCCATCTCACCATGGCGAAGCACATCTGTGGGTACAAAAATCCCAGCAGAACGTATGTGCGAGCATAGTTTTATCTTTACCATCATTATCTGGCGCTCGGATAATTGCGATATCTGCAGGATACCGCTGTTTCCCGGGCTGCGCTTGCATGGCGCGTTACAGCCAGGGCTCCTGTTTTTGGCAAGGAGCGATGCCGCCACCAGCACAGCCCCTCTCCCATCACAAAGGCACGGCATCCAAGCCAAAACAGTGACTTGGAGAGCATTCCTTTTCCTACACAACCGTAGGAGTTGTCACAAATTAAACATTCTCGACTTACGGCCCCGTTCTGGCAGTGGCGCAGGAATGAGCCATCCCTCCTGGTAACCAGTGCTCAATTTCTGAAGGGCAACACCTGGAAGAAGTCCTCCCTCCTCAGCACAGCCAAGCTTGGTCCAACGCTTTGACTAGCGATGCTATGTTTTTTTTCCCCATTAACGGTCCAGTCAGAGATGACTGCCTCTTACTGGTGATTTATGGAGAGGCTGAGTAACCCAGTTTATCTAAAAATGTGACAAGTTTGCATCGAAAGGCTGGGTCCAGATGGACAGGTCACCTGCTGTTAAATATACAGCAATAGATCTCCGTACCAGGCAAAAGGCAACGCCAACCATGGAGTTACATTTCAAACACAATTAATAAGAAAACGGGGAGGGTTTTTTATGCCTCCCACTTACATTCAGCTGTAGGCACCGAAAAGAGGGACTGGAAAAGCCCAAGGGCTCCAGGCTCATGGACGAGCTGGTGATAACGACGTGGAGTAATTAGAGATGAACTCCACTTCTCCTCTCGTTTTTCAGATTGTTACAAGGCGAGGGCTCGTGGGCAGGATGGCACCGGCAGCTGTACGCCGCTCCGATGGTACTCCCTTCCCCTGCAAAGTCCAGAGGCGGAATTCGTTAGACATGAGCAAATTTTGCGTGTAAGAGGCAAAAGCCAAATCTAGGAGGAAAACCCGAATAAGAAATGACAAGTCTGGTGCAGCGACTCTGAAAAGCCGCGCGGCGCGGGAGGAATAGCCTGAAAGCGAGCCTGGTGCGAGGAGAGGGAGCGAGACGGGGACGGGGCGGCAAAAGCAGCATTCGGAGCTGAGCAGAGGGAGGGGATGATTATTGCCTTCCTCATCACTTCTCTACAGTGAGAAAGCCCCGGTCACAAGCACATACTGTAGCATTAGAGGCTGCAATATGCTTTGCCACAGGACACCCATTTAAAAAATATGTCTGAGCAGCCCACTTCCAAACAGGGTTTTCAGCTCAGCCCTTTCCGCCAACTGCCAACAACATATTTTCCCTGTAAATCACTCGCTTTGCGGGGTGGATGGTGGTGTCTAACAACTGTAGTGAAAAGAGATGGCGGGGACGGGTCAGCGCCTTTGGGGGAGCTGGGCGCGCTGCACAGATGCACACGTGTAATTTGAGGTGATTTGCTGGGAATTACTAAAGCTCCGTAGCTTTTCCTCTCCGATATAGGTGATTTAAGAGATGTGTTACAGGAGGGGTGGACACCAAGGAGGGTTTGCGTCTCCTCAGTTTGGTCTCACACCTTTGTACAACCGCGTTTCTCGCAGGCGAGGGGGCTTTGCTGCTACCAGATTTTCACCGAGGAGGTTGCTCCTGCCCGTTTTTTGGGAGCACGGCTGCCTGTTGCAGGCAGGGAGTAACTCCATACATCACGGTTAAACTGCCGTGGGTGCTGAGCCCACTCATCACAGCCACGTGGGTAATTCATGAGTAGAGAGGAGGGCTGAGCTAATTGCGGACGTTTTTCACCCGGAATCGTCCCCGCAGCAGCGATGGGTGGGCGGGGAGGGGGGGTGCCCAAGGCCCCGCTTGACGCCGCTCTCCCCTCTCTCTGCACAGGGGGGTTTGCGGAGCTGCTGCTGGTGCTGCTGGGGCTGAAGGTGCCCGGCGTCCTGGGCTGCCCCACCGACTGCGTCTGCTACCCCTCCCCGATGACCGTCAGCTGCCAGGCCCACAACTTTGTCACCATCCCCGCCGGCATCCCCGAGGACAGCGAGAGGATCTTCCTCCAGAACAACCAGATCACCTTGCTGCTGCGGGGCCACTTCAGCCCCTCCATGGTCACCCTCTGGATCTACTCCAACAACATCACCTTCATCGACCCCAACACCTTCGACGGGTTCGTTAACCTGGAAGAGTTGGACCTGGGGGACAACCGCTACTTAAGGGCTTTGGCTGCAGACACTTTCCAAGGGCTGGTGAAACTCCACGCTTTGTACCTGTACAAGTGCGGGCTGAGCTCCCTCCCCAGTGGGATATTCGGTGGCCTCCACAACCTGCAATACCTTTACCTGCAAGACAACCACATCGAGTTCCTTCAGGATGATATTTTTGTTGACTTGGTTAACCTCAGCCATCTTTTTCTCCATGGAAACAAGCTCTGGAGCCTCCATCAGAACACATTCAGGGGACTAATAAACCTGGACCGGCTGCTCATCCATCAAAATCAGCTGCAGTGGATTCACAGGCGGGCTTTTCACGACCTCCGCAGATTGACCACCCTGTTCCTGTTCAACAAAGGGGGACTGCCTGGCCCACCTGGGAGCCCTGGAGTTCCTGCGGCTGAACGGGAACCCCTGGAGCTGCGACTGCAAGGCCCGCTCACTCTGGGAATGGCTGCACAGGTTCAGAGGCTCCAGCTCCAGCGTCATCTGCGAGTCCCCAGAGCTGATGCACGGCAAGGACCTCAAGGTGCTAAGAGCGGAAGATTTTAGGAACTGTTCGGGGTCCGAGTCGCTCCATCAGATGAAAACACACACTTTCTCCACAGCGGACAGAGGAGCCTCCAAAACCCACCACCCTCACCACTCCTCCAAGGAGAAGGGCAAGGAGAGAGGGGCTGAGAACGGGTTGCACAGCAGCCAACCCGCCGCTCCCCCCGGCTCCCGCCCGGGCTATCGCAAACCCGGCAAGAACTGCACCAGCCACAAAAGCCGCAATCGAACCTCCAAACCGGGATCCTTGGGGCCGCGGAAAAACGGGCAGGAGGTCCCAGACTATGTGCCTGATTATCAGCACAAATTCAGTTTCGGGGCGATGCCGACGCTCTCCCCTAAACGCAAGGGTAAGTGCACCCGGCGGACCCCCATCCGCCCCCCCAGCGGGGTCCAGCAGGCCGCTGGCTGCTCGGGGCTCAGGGCATCACTCCTGGTGTTTATGGTGGTGTTGGCGGCTGTCATACGCTGAGCTGCGGCCGCGGATGGAGCGGAGCTGCACTGCCACCGATCTACAAAGGACCAGAGTTTCTTTTCTTCTTCTATTTTTTCCTACGTGGCGAGCGTTGGCCTGGCCAAGGGACGAACGTTGTCTCGGCTTCTGACGGTCTCTCCGTGCCTGGACTGTGCCGAACGCAGCAGGAGCGGATTAAAAAGGCATTATCACACCTTGTCACAAACAGCCTAAACGAGCACGTACAACAACAAAAATAAGCCAACCTTACAAAAAAAACCCCCCAGATTACAGGGACAGCAGCCAATTTGTCGGTGACGACAAGCGGACAAACGGACTGTATCTGTGCTCTTGTGAAATCCCGTTCGTTTGAGAGCGCTCTGAGCGACCCCTCCAATTACCGACAGGAACATAATTGCTGTAAAAACCATCACCGATTAAGCCTACACTGTTTCTCTGATGCCGATGTAAGAAGGACATTGGTTCTCCCATGTCTTAGCCCTTTTGGCTCCAAACCCAGAGGCCCACGTTGGCTGGGAATCTCTTCGAAGACAATCTCAAACCCCTGAATATCTCAGGCATTACAGCAGAACAGGGCTTGCCCGCTGGGCTTGGAGTAGCCAACAACCAAAGGAAAGACTGATTAAAGGTGGAATTAAACAAAAAAACCCGACAAACCCAACACTTAAAGAGATGAGACACCCGCAGGAGGTGCATTTTTTTGTAACCATGTTCACACAGCTGAAAAAAACCAACCAACCCCAACAAATGCACAGGCTCCCCCTTTCCCCTCAATTATCCATATGTATGTCTTATAATGTTTATAAACTATACGGAAACTATATCTTCAGAACTAAGGATTGTATTGGTGAATTTATAGCAGACCAGTATATGATTTTGGTTTTGTTTTGTTTTGTTTTTTTTTCCTCAAGAACACAAACCGGCAGCAGTGCCTACAGATGCTGAAAGCCATCGGGCGGGCTCAGTACGCGCGGGGGAACCACGGCGGACCAATGTTCTCAGCAGTTCAGAGCACCAAACTTTGGGAGGGATGGGGTGGGGTGGGGTGGGGTCGCGTGCAATGCAGCAGAGAGAGCCAAAACTCACCCTTACATCCTAATCTGTAACCGGTGGGAGGGGAAGAGAGACATTCATTAGTCCAAATAAATAGAGCCATAGAGCTCTGTCTCCGGAGAGCGCTGCGAGGCCCCAGGGCGGAGAGGGGCTATTTTGCTGGGGCTGGAGGCAGAGAGGAGCTTCCCAGGCGTGTTGGTGGCGTGAGGACCTTTATAGCTGGACTAAGGTTTTCACCGGGGCAGCCAGGAGCAGCTCCCAGGCTGCAGAGGTGCCTGGCAGCCTCAGGGGAGGTTTGGTGTCCTCAAAGGACCAGGTTGTGACACGGGAGGAGTCAGAGAAGTGGGAAACCACAGCTCGCGGGGGACCAGCGAGAGGCGCAGGGTTTTCTGGTCCACCCTAGGAGAGAAAAAGAAATGGTCCAAGAAGGGGGTTGTGTAAGATGGAGGAGAGGGAGCACATCCGCTCGTTCCCCTCATCCTGAATTGAACCCCACGGCGGAGCAAGGCGTTTGCCGGGCAGGGGCATGGCCGAGCCGGTGGCAGGCACGGCAAGCGCGCACGGGAGGTGTCGCCCAAATTTCGCAGTCGGTGTGAATTCCCTGTCAGCGCGGATGTGCGAGACCAAACAGACACTGAAGTTACCGAAACGAGGGAAATAAAAGTGATCTTGGACAAGAAAAGGCTGCTGTTCATTTCATAATGGTAATCAGAGGCGGCACGGTTCTCGCCCATAGCCCAAAGGCGAGGGCTTGTGCTCGTGTTTCCCATCAGCCACACCATGAGCCTCAGGAGGAGCGGGCCAGGTCGGGAAATCCGCTCTCCCAATTGCTTTGGGGATGGGGAGAGGGTATTTGTGCAGCGGCAGATACCCTGGCGGTATCTGGAAATGGAAAGGAAAACTCCCAAGCCAAGAATAAAAGAAGGAAAATCCCTGATGCTCTTATATTTAAGAGCAGTTGGGTGCTGGGAGTGGGCACAGCCACTTCTGTCCATCTCACAAGCTTGGATGCTTCATGTCTGAATTCCCTTCCTGGGGAACAGCAAGGGTAACTGTGGCAGGAGGAAGGAAGAGATCACTTCATCAACCCCCCCCTTCCAGCTCCTTCCCAAACTTTTCTGTCTACAGGGCTCTCAAGCTCCACTAAAGGGATGTCCAATGCAGCCAGAACAAATAATCCATGATCCGAAATAGCTCCCTCACGTCCTACTCTCTATAACCAATAGCAACTGAATGAGCCTGGCACTGTCCCTTAGAAGTGGGGAATGTTGTTATGTTGGTTATTTCGTTTCATACTCTGGAAATCAAAGCTCTCCGTGGGAGAATGAAGAAGAGAAGCACTTTATTAATTTTTTTTTAAGTCTGTGTGTAAGTCCCGTAATACAGGAGCGAAATGTCAGCGCAGGAGATGCTAATGTTTTATAAATGATTTGGGTGCAGCCGGCACGATGGATAGGCTTTGAGATGAATTATATTAGAAGAGACTACGCCTGGCTCAAAACCATAATTGTATTTTTAGTATCTTTTCCTTTAACATGTAGGAAAAATAAAGGCAACTCCACGGTGTATTACAAGCCTTGTCAATCAAGCACTCTAACTCCTAGCAATAAAGCTGCTGTTTAAAAACCAGAAGGGAGACATGATACACTGCTAAATAGGAGGTGTCACTTGACATGGACTATAGGTTTCTGATGTTCCTCCTCCCTTCCCCTTGGCTGCCATCCCTCCTCGTGCCCATCCTTCCCCCACGACCAGAGCTCTTTGAGGATAAACTAAATTTTTATGGCATGCTCTGACACTCAGCCTCAATAACGAACGTCCCATCTGCGTGGTTCAGCTCTACCGTGGCCCCTGGTTCACTCTCGCATGTTTTTTTCCCCCAATCCCTTCACGCGAGCACGTCTTCATGCATTTTGAATGTTGCTGTGAGGGCTGGCATAAATCCCCTATTTTTTCCGAAGCAGCGCTCCCACAACCGCAACGCAAGCATCTCTCCAGTCGAGCGGACGCAGGTAGAACCACGACTTGCCAGAACTTGTCTGCCTCAGGCTGGAGAAATTGGGGGATTAATTAGAATCACTCTCAGACACCAAAGTTTGACAGGGAGGTCCCTGGGGTGAAGCGCTGAACCCCAGGGGTGGTGGTCAACAGCACGGCCCCTTTGAAGCGATGCTGGGCCGCAGTCCACGAGCTCGCATTTGGACAGGCTGGATTGATGTTCCTGTCATTGATCCAAGGCCGATGAGATGAGATTCAACAAGGTTTTCACTCCTCCTGACTTGTCCAGTTCTGGGCCCCTCAGTTCAAGAAGGACAGGAACTGCTGGAGAGAGCCCAGCGTAGGGCTACAAAGATGATCAAGGGAGTGGAGCATCTCCCTTCTGAGGAGCGGCTGAGGGAGCTGGGGCTCTTTAGTTTGCAGAAGAGGAGACTGAGGGGAGACCTCATTCATGGTTATAAATATTTCAAGGGTGAGTGTCACGAGGATGGAGCCAGGCTCTTCTCGGTGACAAACAATGACAGGACAAGGGGTAACGGACACAAACTGGAACACAGGAGGTTCCACTTCAATTGGAGAAGAAACTTCTTCTCAGTGAGGGTGACAGAGCCCTGGCCCAGGCTGCCCAGAGAGGTTGTGGAGTCTCCTTCTCTGCAGACATTCAAAACCCGCCTGGACGCCTTCCTGTGTAACCTCATCTGGGTGTTCCTGCTCCGGCAGGGGGATTGGACTGGATGAGCTTTGGAGGTCCCTTCCAATCCCTGACGTTCTGGGATTCTGTGCATCTGGGTAGAGCTCTCTGGTTTGCGTTCTTGGGTTTTTTCAGCAATGCTCCCAGCATGGAAGTTGGGGCATAGGGGTATGGTTTTTAATCCAAGTGAAGTCAGAAGATAACGCACTTGGTGGCAGTCAGACTAAGGGGTTTCTCGCCCCAACCCCACATGCTCTCCTCCCCAAGAAGGCAGATTCAACAGAGCGATCATCTAGTCCTGATTGCTAGAGTTCTGATGTGAAATGGAGCCACAAGGAAGAAAATAAAGCATGCAAGAAAGGGAAGAAAATAACCAAGACAAATGCCCAGGAAGATGGTTATCATCAGCAAGTACCACAAATCCTCATGAGATGGAAAAACAGGAGCAAACCTGGGCTGGATTCTGGGCCTTCCCTGCCTGAAAACCCAGGGCAGCTCTAGAACTTTCAAGCGATCTAGAACTTTGTGTGTGACCTAGAACTTGCTCTAGAACCAGACAGTGATCTAGAACCCAATCTGGAACCACCTCCCTACCAAGCCTGGCAACTCCAGAACCCGTCCCTGCTCTAGAAGCAGCTGCATCAACACCACCCTCACTCTACAAACACCAACCCCTGGAACCCAGCCTCTGGAAGGGACCTGGACTCCAAGGCCAACCCCAGCTCTAGGGCCCTATCCAACTGCACGAGGTTCAACAAGGCTCAGTGCTGGGTCCTGCACTTGGGTCACAACAACCCCGTGCAGCGCTACAGGCTTGGGGATGAGTGGCTGGAGAGCAGCCTGGAGGAAAAAGACCTGGGGGTGTTAGTCGAATATGAGCCATCAGTGTGCTCAAGTGGCCAAGAAGGCCAAGAGCATCCTGACTTGTATCAGAAATAGTGTGGCCAGCAGGTCTAGACAATGCAGTTGTCCCCCTGTACTTGGCACTGGTGAGGTTGCACCTACAATGCTGTGTGCAGTTTCGGGCCCCTCACCACAAGAAGGGCATTGAGGGGCTGGAGCGTGGCCCGAGGAGGGCAATGGAGCTGAGGAGGGGTCTGGAGCACCCAAAATGATGGGGAGCGGCTGAGGGAACAGGGGGATTCAGCCTGGAGAAGAGGAGGTGAGGGGAGACTTTATCGCTCTCTGCTGAAAGGATGGTGTAGGAAGGTGGGTGCCACTCTCTTCTCCTTGGTGAGAAGTGATGTGATGAGAG